ATAGTGCTTCAGTGCACCAGGACACCTGTTGCATATTGGGAATAAGCCTTAAAGGTATAATATGTAACATATCCACATTATGTTATATATAGCCCATAACTTAGCACTGACTTTATTTGATATAAAGATAACTGAAAGCGAATTTGAACTGAAGTGAAACTTGTTGCAGAGCTATAGACCAGCAACAGAAAGTTCAGATTTCTAAATATACCAGTGCTTTCAATCATTATATTATTGAGTGATTTGTACAAAACACCTGTACAAATCTGCAATCCATATGACCTGGATACTGTTTTGTATTACTAAGGGGAGAATGGTATCCCTACATGAAAACACATGAGGCTGATGGAGACAGTTCAAACACTTACCCGGATAAGAGAGGTGCACCTGCTCTGGCTGTGTCCAAATGGGAGGAACACCAAGCACCAACAGGGGTACGAAGCTCAACAAGGCACAGGCAGCATGAACAGGAACCATTTTAACACTGAACTGCAAGAAACAGTAGTCTGGTTAAAGTTGCAACACACACCCGGAAAATAAAACAACTGTCACATGATGATCAAAGCTGTCGTGCAACCAAAATCACATGACTGAGTCTATTAATATAAAACCAAGTGGATCAATGTGTCTCTTTTGGGATTATAAACAGTACAGCTGTAAAGTATCATACCTGACCTCAGTGCCAGTTTACACAGAACTCCCCCACAGCAACAGACACACGCAGACCGTGTTTTGGTCCCTGATGAGGACCTCTACATCAGTCAACCTGAGCGATGAAAGTGCAGAACCAAAACAGCAGAGTCAGCGAGGAGCAAAAGGGAAAGAGATGATGTGTCAATAAAAGCAGCTGATGTTGTTTTTCGTTGTGCATTCAGGGAGGTTGCTGCTGTCAAAGTGAGCACAAGTACAGCAGAGATTAACCCACAAGCCACAGCTTGCCTCAGATCAATAAAGCACCAAGGCAAACAGCCGGTATGCCTCACTGATCGGGAGAAAGGCACGGACAGGGTCATGGCTCATGAAGGCAAAACCATAGTTTCATTAGAGCCAAAACAGTACACCAGCTGATCTTATTTATGAGTCATGGTAACTGGCTCTCTTGTTTAATGCGTCTATCAGTGAGATCAGTTGACTGGGAGTATGACTTAAAACCACAAGTCTACACCACTGCTTCAATGAAGTGTTTGGATTTGAAATTTGCTCCGTTTATATGTCAGTGGTCGCTAGAGGGCGCACACTGCACACACTGCATTATGAATGGGATACTTTATTCTCTCTGGGCGGTATTAGCATTTGAAATCTGATGTTAGCTAACGTTAGGTAGTTGTCGCCTTAAATAATCAAAGGGAAAGATTAAACTCTACTGTCACTGCTTGAGAAAGGAAAACATGGTGAGTACAACAGTTAGGATAAGTTATTAGCTTCACTTTATGATTTGCTGTGAAGGTCACAGACTAGTTTGCTGGACCACTCGTTTTAACGTTAAAGCCTTACAGCCGTACAGCCTTACACTGTCAGTGGTTACACCGTGCGAACCAGATGTTTAGTCTTATTAGCTGTTAGCTGTTCGGCTAATTCTTGACACAGTTACTAAACATTTATGCTACGATGTGTAACTATTAAAACGTGCTACACACAAAAGATAGCATTTTTTTTCTTTAAACACTCACAGTTTAAAAACAGGCTCTCCCAAAGGTCAAACGATGTCTGACCCGAATAGTTATGTGAACGTTAAATTAGTAACTAAAACCCTCACAACACAGCACAACTCTGCTGTTTGGCCCGGGAGCAGTTCCTGACTACGTCATTGCACAGCAGGACAATAATATCCACGTGGATTGTGGGAAATGGTGTTTTTTTGTGTTTTGCCTGGAGAGCCTGTTACACTGAGGTATAATGCTGTTTTCTTACTGTACTGAATTTTAATATTGTATATCACTTAAAGCCGTAACAGAATGTTATATGAATGCTGTGAATAATAGATTTAGAGATATAAACCATACTGTGGTTATCTTTTATGTTTGTATGTATTTAATTAGTTCTGACAATGTATTATAATCAATATAATCATATAATATAATTATTTAATATAATCATATAACTGATTTAAAAGGGGTTTCTCTTTCTCTAGGTCAAATGGACTCCAACAGTGAGGACGGAGAGTACCAAGCAGCCCAGTACAGAGTGACCTATCCTCACGGGAGAAACACAAAAGCGGTGAGCTGAGTGCCACGTTATAATACACACATGTTTTTCTGTATGCTAGACCTCGTTTTCTGCTAGTGTTATTTGTCACCATGCAAAATGTGTTTTTATATGCAGGCGGACTATGAAAGGAATGAGGAGTTCAACAAAAAGAGGTAGGTTGTACATGTTTTGTGGTTAAATTACAGCAAGTGCATAATGTGCTTTGGCTTTCAACAATACCTTTGAACATTTCACATGGCACAGATATCCCGTGAGTCGCTCTGGCAACAACCCCGGCAGAGTGAAGCGCGTAGTGTCATGTAAGAGGAAGACCCATCATCTGACAGTGGCTCGAAGGAAGCAGGTCGGGACCGGGAGGACTTGTGATGCTGCAAACAAGGAGAATGAGATGAACTGCATGCAGGACATGAAACAGGAGATATTTGACATGGACCTCTGGGAGTTCCCACTAAATGTCAATAACAACCACAGGACTGGTAGAACTGGTTCTGAGCAAGCAGACTACAGTACACTCACTGAGGTCAGACATAACATCACAGTTCAGACTATATTTCGCTTTCTTGTGTTGTGGCTTTTTTATTATTATTACTAATATGCAGATAAAACTGTCTGAATCTAACAATATGTTTCAGCTCACAAGGGATCATAGCACAATGACTGATGTGCTCTTTGGAAGAAATCTGAGACTCAAAGTGTCTTTAACATTGTGGCAGAGAAATGTTGGAGAGCTGTTGACATACTTCCTGAGGTATGTACATGTAGTGTGTGGTTAGTTGGTGCATGTGACACACAGTATGTTTGCTTGAATTTAAAGTATTGTTACTTCCCTGTCTTTGTGCAGAATCCAAGACATTGGTGTGTTTGTTGATTTTCTCCCACTGATAAGCAAAAGGTAAGTGACTAAGATTAAGCAAAGGTAAGACTGACTACAAGTGGAGTACATCTTATTTAGATTTAATTCTCTCTGCAGCATTGATGATGATTCCCGCAAGATTACCATTGGTTGCTGTGTTGATCTCTTTCCTTTAGTTAAAAAAGTCCTCAACAATCCATATGAAGAGTGAGTATTCCTGCTGCTATACATTTTTTTGTTTTTGCAATGCAGCTGAATTATTACATAGTGAAACACACATATTTGCATAGAAGAACAGAAAGCACTGAAGGTTGTCTCTGATTCTTACAGGTATCTTATTGTTGGTTTAAAGTGGATCAATTCAGTTTTGAAAAGCTGGTGGGAGGAACTAAGAGCAAGTGGCTACAGTGGATCAACTAATCTCCCATTGGATGAGTAAGTGTTGCTGTGTTTTTTGAGCAATAGTGTTGGAGAAGCTACTTTGAAAGCTACAAGTACTGCTACAAGTACTTCACACTGGAAGAAATTGCAGCAAAACTGCCCTCAGGATAAATCTAGTTTGGTTAACTAAAGCTACTTAAACAAAGTAGTACATATAATGTAAAAATGTGACATGCCAGCAAAAACAAATGACAAATTCAGATTTAAAACATTAAAATCTAAGCCTAAGCTAATATAGTTGAATTGAATTGCATGTAGTACACTACTCCCCAACACTGCGAAGCAGCATGTTATTTTTACACAATAAACAAAATAACATAATGCTAATTAATAATCTAAATGCTGTAATGATCTTCCATCATGTGTTTGGTTATTCAACCTTTAAAACAGATATTAACTAAACCCCACATGCAGCACCACTTGAAAACTAGTGAGAATTTGCCACAATTTCCATTATTTGGTGCACTGTGTAGATCAGAATGTGTAGCCATTGTGGTTAAATATTTATTTTAACTTTGTTACAGAAATTTCCAGGCCTTTAATCAGCAGTTATTGGAGTTATGGCATCAGCAACCTTTACTGAAATCTGTCCCAGGAACTGCTGGAGACATGGCGAAGGTCAGTGCCACATGTATGAATACATCATTACCACTGTTGTTGATGACTTTCTTAAACAGAAAAATCATCTTTTTCCCTCAGGTCATTGATTCCTTCCTGTCTCAGCTTACTTGACGGCAATGAAGAACCAGATAATTAAGTGACTGTTCTCTGGTAGCAGCCCCACAAGAATCCTTAGTAGAATCATTAGACTGGAGCTGCTGCTGTTTCCACAGAGAAGTGCCTTTTAGCTCGTATCTGTCCTGAGGTAATGTCGGTAGAGCTTGATGTATTTTTTGGCTTGCAGAGCAACTTGAACAGAGGTACTGAGAATGTGTAATATAAATTGAATCATTGTCTTTTGATTGACCAAGTAGGATAGATGTTGTAATTATGATCAACAAAAATATTTTGATCATTGTGCAGTTTGAATTATGTCACAGAAACTTAAAGGCTTTTGTGAGTGTAAGAATGAATGTAAGAATTTAGTTTCATTGACATGTGGTATGTGTCTGTTCTCTTTAATTGCCCCATTTGTGATGAATAAAGTTTGTATTCTAAATTTTAAAGTTTGTGGTGTTGAAATGAGCATTTTTTACAACCAGAACAAATGGTGTAATCCCCTTCTTCTGTGGGAGAAGACAGCACCAATATGTTGCCGTTTTAATTATGCACGTGCTGTACTTAAACTCAAAACTGTACTTTACCACAAGTTAAAGTAGATGAAATAACAAGTGGAAAGATGCCAGATCACCAGCAACACATATAAGTTGAACCCCTACAATCCATTCACATCTGGACTTCAGCCTCAATAATGCTTGAAGTGATTTAAGTAAGTCAGAGATATGGGTTTACAAAGCTCATATCTCTCCATTTACATGTGGGTTTATCTCACTTGACACAGATAAGTGGAGGGTTGATGTCATTGTGATGTGAACCTGAGGCTGAAGTCCAGTTGTGACTGGGCAGGAGACACAGTGAACTCTGAATCTAAACTCAGCAGTCTGCTGGTGCTTTTCATTCAGTCAGTGTAGACCATACAGTAAGAGCGTGGGAAAAGATTTGGGTTCAGAGAGTAACATATTTCTGTCACCTTATACAGCTGGCTATACTAAAGGTAAGCACATTGATTTTACATTTCAAGATACCTTCCTTTTTTCTCCTCAGTACAGTTTTTTGTGTTCTTCATTACGTACTGAATTCAACAAGAAGCTCACAGCATTGTATGATTAATTAGACGCAGTTGGTCTGACAGCAGAGGAAAGTGAAGGATGCGGTGTGCGAGATGCTGGCTGCCAGCAGTGGCTCTGCTGTTGCTCAGTGTGTCTGGAGTTGACATGGAGCATCTCCAAGCTGAGAACCTGAATCTGATTTCTCCAGATGAGCATAACTTGGTCCTGAACCGTGGGATGAGAGGTATTTATTTGTGTACACATTCACTTTCATTTTGACTCTTCTTTTTCCTGTCTATCACAATAATGCATTTTTATTGCATTTGTTGGGGGAATTAAATGCACACAGCTCATGCATAGATTATCATGATTATCCGATTTTCCTGTGGGTGTGGGTCAAATTCCAGGCTGTAGATCCAAATTGCTTAGTGACTCATTATTGGTAAGTGTTACCTCCAGTGAGGCGATTTGTGTATCTTAGTAAGATAAGACAAGACAATAAGACAAACAGTTGTAATAGTTTGGCAATTGATCAAGGTTTTACTTTGTGTACCTGGGAGACATTGAGAAACAGTGTTAGTGTGCCGTTGCCATCAGTGTAACAACTGATTCCTGGCATTGCTGTTGACCACATTGTAGCTTTTGACACTATCACTGGGAGCTCCAAGGAATAGTAGAAATAGGGGGTATAAGGAAATATGGTTATTCGGTTTCTTGCCAAGAGTTAGCTGAGAAGATTAATATCACTGTCATGTCTGTACAGTAAATATGAAGCTAGAGCTACCAGCCTTTTCGCTTAGCTTAGCACAAAGACTGGAAACAGGGGAAAATCTATCCTGGCTCTGTCCAAAAGTAACAAAATCCAAGTAGTGTGTTTTGATCAAGAACGATAACCCTCATAAAATCATGATGTGTCATTTTCACACTTGTATTCATATAAACAAACTAAATCTGTTTTAGTGATCTTAAGAGATGTAGTGGGATTTTGTTACCTTTGGACAGATACAGGCTAGCTATTTCCCACGGTTTCAAGTCTTTGTGCTAAGCTAAGATAACTGTTGCCTGGCAGTTCATGTTTAATCGATTGACAGCAGAGTGGTATTAATCTTCTAGTCTACTGTAACTCTTGGCAAGAAAAAGAATAAGTGTTTTTTCTCCAAACACTGGCTCCAAATAGGTCCTTAAAGGGTCTCAACCATAGTTTCTTCTAAAAGCTTGGAATGGGAGAGTGAGGTATGGGTGTTGCTATCAGCAACTACACTGCCAGATACCATGGACATCACTTTAGCATCAAATGGATAGAAATCTGATCTTAGGACATATCTCCCCCAGCCCACCCATCTCTTACTAACCAACATGCTTAATCAAGTGTAATTACCCTTTACTAATTAGCAGTTATGACTCAAACATTCATTTGATCAATAGTGTTGCCCAGAGACTGCCATGAAATGCTGATGACATCTTCAGGCCAGGCCAGAGACGGGGTGTACCTGATCCAACCAGGTGACTCCCCTATCGTGGCCTACTGTGCCATGCAGGAGGGAGGCTGGACCGTGGTGCAGCATATCACCGTCAACAGCAGCGTGAATTTCGATCGTACCTGGGTGGAGTACAAGCATGGCTTTGGGGATGTAACTGGAGATCACTGGCTTGGGAATGAACACCTTCATCAGCTCACCCGTGGCCCCGGGCGCTATAAACTGGGAGTAAAACTAGTTGACCGAGACGCCATCACCAAGATGGGGGAGTATGATCCATTCCTGGTGGAGAATGAATCATTAGCATACAGGCTGAGGCTGGGGTTGTTCCAGGGCACAGCTGTAGACGCTCTGACCCTGGACACAGAGAACTACCTCCACGACAACCAAAGATTCACCACTAAAGACAGAGACAATGACAACTACTTCCAAAATTGTGCTAAGCTGGAGTTTCAGGGAGTGCCAGGAGGAGGTTGGTGGTACGACGCCTGTGCTGGTGCCAACCTCAATCGCAGGAATGTGATCTACTGGCAAAAGGACTGCAACAAGGAGCGACTGTGCAAGTACGCATGGATGATGGTGAGACCTTCAGACACAGTCAAACTGATTCAAAGTGGAGACTGCAAGAAGGATGAGCTATAAGGACATCATTGTCAGGATTTGTGATGCTGGGTGACAATGGGTTTGGCAGCTATCGAGTGTCAAGAGGAGGTAGAGCAGGCTACATGAGTGATTTTCTTCTAATAGACACTAAGCTGGACATTAAATTCACCACATTTTATTCAGAAATGCCTGGACATGATCACGAAATACTGAAAACAGCAAAAAATGAATCACAAACTTGGAACACAGTATAAAAATGCAGTACGGTTTTAGCTCTAGCTTTGTTTCCATCATACACCATTATTAATACATGAAGCAAAGCATCTCCTTCATTCCCCAAATTGCAAGTGCAGATTTCTGGTTTATCACAGTTACAAAAAAGTGTTTCATGACATTATAGCTTATGACACATGTAAAATATCGTTTGCATGTCATCTCGCATCCAATGCCTACAGAACATTTCACAAACAGCTATTTTTCCTTTTTTTCTTTTTTTTTTTTGCCACAGTACATTACAAGTTTGCCAGAAATACAATGAAGATAAGACATTTTGATTTAGCTACAGTAATTCAGAGAAAACAAATACTGTATTTCAAAAAGAAAATATCCTGAGGATAAGGAGTAATAAACAGATTATAATCATCACTGTGTGCTCTTAATTCCTCCACTGTTTTCTCATCGTAAACACTGATACTGTTCAGCAAGTTTGTCGTGTAGTTTGTACAGGTTATAGGGTAAATCAGTATGTTCAGTTTTTGGTTTATTTTATAAATGTTTGTGTTTTAATTTATGGAAACCTTACTCTTCATATTCCACTGAGATTTTGCAGGGCAGAAAACACAGAACATATGTGAAAACAATGAAGATGAATCTATATTCACTCGTCTGACAAATGACATTGGCACATGTGAAAAGGCTTTGATTATCATCAAGTTACAATCTTGACTTAGCAAACAGATTCTGACATCAGGACAACACGCATTAGCCCTTTACAATAACATAGCAATTCTAAAGTGAGCATCCTCAATACAAACACAGTACCTACAGAATAAAACACATCTGTGTGTGTTACATATTGGGTGTAAGAGCATTCAGCTTTGGGGAGGATACTGGCAATTTTTAATACTTTCAACAGTGTAAATGATCATCTTGTAACCATTTTATTATGTTGTTTTATCATGTTCTAGATATCAAACTGCATCTTGAAAACAAATACAGTACAATATGAAATGTGTTAATTGATGGGATTACCTGCAAAAGAGCATCAATTCTGGGAGAAATTACAGGTATTTCTAATATTTTAGAATCTATTTACAGTGTGACTAATTATATTGGGACAATTTTATAATGTTCTCTCTTTTCCAAAGTTTGAGCAGTAATTAACATACACTATAGTAGACCTACTGATTAATGAGCCACATTACAAATCGTACTAGCTCCTTGATATAGTATTTTTATTTTCTATATCACCTAATATGTAGAATTCAGCTTCATGACGCCAGGGTTAATAATACAAACATATAATTTACAGCCATCATCATACACCATCTTAAAAAAATAACAGTTTATGTCAGTTTGGAGCTGACCACAGGGTTTTGTCCATACCAGTACAGTTTCTCCTCAATCCTTTTCTTCTTCCACTGACAAAGTAAGAGCATACGGAAGGTCTTTTGGAAAGTCTTGTTACAAAGTGCGTAGCACATGGGATTGACAGTGCTGTTAACGTAGCACAGCCAGTAGCCCAGATGCCAGAGTGAGAGGGGAATGCAGTCTGAGCAGAAGGTGGAAATAAGCACCATGATGTTATAAGGCGTCCATGTTAGGATGAAGGCCAGCAGGATGGCACTGAGAGTCTGAGCTGCCTTCCTCTCCTTGATCAGCACCATCCTCTTCCTCTTGGTGATCTGGTTCTTCAGCGTGGCGTCTATGGGCTTAGACGTGGAGGAGGTGGATGGAACGCTCATGGACTCAGCTGAGGAGAACGTTGACGACGCCATTTTTGTGTCTCCATTTTTGCTGTGGTGCTCCACATGAGCATCTTTGGCCACGGGCTTGAACTTGTAGGACACGCACTTGCTGCTCTTCTGAGAGTTGCTTTTGGGTGGCGTCTGGAAGAAGCTATCCTCATCGTAGCTGCTGAGCTGCTCGCTCTCACTGCCCACACCACTCTTGATGGTCTCACAAGCCTGGTTCCTGAAGGAGGGCTGGAAACCCCCTGGAGACACAGGTCTGTCCTCATCCTCAGAGGAGGCATAACTGTTGAAGGTGGTCAGCTGACCGGCTTTTGACCACTCGTCATTGGTGGTGGCTGCCGATTTGGCAGCATTGCTTCTGCTGGAGGAGGACCAAGAGGCTTGGTTCCTGTCATGTGAAGCTGACCTTAATTTACAGCTAAAACAGGATCTGATAATGGTTTTCTGGGGCTGGGTGACCCGAGAGTCTGTGGGATAGTTAATACCCTGTAGCTCCGCCAGATCTTTGGTCCTCTTCTCCGTCTCCTTGTAAATCCGACAGTAAAGGATTGTCATGACTGATACAGGGATATAAAAGGCAGCAATCGCTGTCCCAAAGGTTATCACAGGCTCAGAGAAAAACTGGATCTGGCATTGCCTCTCAGGGACAGTCCTTTTCCCTACAAAGTACTGCCAGCAGATAATAGGTGGAGCCCACAGAACAAGTGACACCAGCCAGGCTAAACCTATCATGATCCCAGCTCGTCTGGGAGTCCGTTTGGCCCTGTAGGTCAGAGGTCTGGTGATGGAAAAATATCTGTCAAAACTGATCACCAACAGGTTCATGACAGAAGCGTTACTGGCTACATAGTCCACTGCCAACCACAGGTCACAGGCAAGATTCCCTAAGGCCCAGTAGCCCATCAGTATATAAGAGGTATAGAGGTTCATGGAGAAAACACCTATGATGAGGTCAGCAGCTGCCAGACTCAGCAGGTAGTAATTATTCACTGTCTTTAGCTGGCTGTTAACTTTGAAAGAGAGCATCACCAGGACATTACCCACAATGGTTATGAGGCTGACTATAGCTGACACAGTGGCAATAGTGATCACCTCCCACAGACTATGAGTGACCAGCTGGATATCCATTGTACTGGCATTTACAGTGGAGTTTAGTATGCTCTCTCCTTCCATGGTCTTCTTGTTGTTATTAGCATCCAAGCATGATAAGAATGTTTGGATTAGTCATTTTCAGGAAGATCTCCTGGAAAGAAAAGAAAGAAAATGTGATTCCTTATTCCTTCAAAAACAAGGTCCCATTCATTATCATCAACCATCCACTAGATGTCGACAATTCAGCATGTTGAGCATCAAATATTTACACTTGGCTTGACACCAAGGAGGAGAATATACAAGCTTAATATGTTTTGCTCTTTAAAACCAAAAGTAAAACCTGCCTTTGTCCTCCGTAACAGTTGATAGCATCCACTTTACTGAATTATATATAAAGTTGGTATTTAAGGGATTGTGTTTTTTATCTGCTACATCTACTGAAAAAATGTCATTAAGCTATTGTCTTCACACAGTTGACACAATTAGCTCTAGCTCATGTAAGTATACCCATATGGAGTGTTTTAGGCAATCTCTGCAAACATCTGTGGCACATTTAAAAAATCCAGGTCATTACATAATTTTGTTCCTTGCTCTAAATCCTTGCTGTTATATTAAGAGTGCATCAGTTTATAGTTCCCTAAGATGGGCATTTCTCTGTGACACTATGAAAAAGAGCATATAGCAAATCATTTGTGAAAACTGAAATCTTCCAACAAACAAATGATTATGGTGATGTTTGTAAAAGCCTTGTCCCAGTGCTTACTAGCTAACACAAAGTACATTAGCAGTCACACATAGCTACAGGCAACTCCCAGCTCACTAACGTGCAAGTTTTTGGAGTGTGAGAGAAAAATGAATTGTCTGGAGTAAATCAAAGTGGTGGTGGTGAGAAATGTCTTTATTATTTTATCAATCAAATGTGACAACATACATTTCCCTCAAATTGAATGCAAAAATAGTGGAAGAAGAAATCAAAACATGAATTGGCACTTGGATATAAGCATAAAAAACAACTTTGGTGCACTCTAAGGGAGCCAGTACTGTACATTCAGCCATGAAATTTGTTGAAAGTGTATAAAATGACAGATGCAGTATGGTGGATAAACATACAAATGTGCCTAGATTTCAAACTCACTGCCAGCTAATTTGTCAGCCATGCATCAAATTCCGATTTCTGCAGTGTATACTTCATTTTAAAGAGTGATGGCACTAAAATAATCAAATAAGCAAACATTTTCTCCTAGTCCTGCAATACTCTCTTCTCTACCGCGCCTTGGCCTATGGGATCATTCATAGAAACAGAACCATTCAGTTAGCCAACCACAGAAGAACTGGTAAAAAGCAGTATATCTATGATATATATATATATAAGTCATATCATAGATTTCTGTTCTATTGTTTGGAATTAATAGTTTGGTTTACTTTGCTAACATGTTTTCGGAGCAGTTTAGTAACTTGGCCCAGAAGTGGTGAAACACCCTATCTGTGTTATAGCTCCCAGTGCATTCTGAGTTCTCATAACAGTCAACATAAACTTTTTAAAGCAACATTATTTTACCTTAAAATAAAAGCTTCAAAATCATTTTGATGCTACACTGACTAATACTCGGGTGAATGGTGCCTCTGTCATTCACACTCGGCTCTGTAACACTTCACAGCCCAAAGTCACACACCACCAACTATGTCTTTTTACTGGATCATATTTTCTGAAAGAATGTTTTCAAGTTTTGTCCTCTGGCTATTCTGCCTCAACTCTCTGGGATTTATACAGTTTCCTGATGGAGAGAAAGATTTACTTTAGTTTAGCTAGTTAGTTCAGTTTTCCGTTCAGCACCGAGAGAGTATAGGTGTTTACACCCCTAGCACAGGAGCTTTGGACCTCCGGGAAGAGGTTTTCAGGCCAAGGGTAAGCCAGAGGGGATGCTGATGGGGAGCCAGCAGGAAATGGAACTTGGGGTCTGCAGCCTCTGTGGACATGGCAGAGGCAAATAGACCCAAATGGACATTGATGGAGGAAGCTAAGAAGAGGAAAAAGATAAAGTTATCAAGTAAGAGGCTGCCAGACAAGAATAAATCTCAGATTGGCTTTTAGCCACTGGCGATAGCTTTGCAAAACAAATCAACTACAAGACAGACGGCAAGCTGGTCTTCTTGCTGTTAGACTAGTAAGTAATATTAGATGGCTTGTTATCTTGTGTTGTTGCACTTGCTTGATGTTATGTTACATGTGAGAAGGTACAGTACCCACACATAACTACATGCCCTGCACCAGTAGAGGGCAGCAATCACCCTCCACACCCTCCTACACCCTCAGGTCAGAGCAATGGTGTGCATGCACATTTCATCCCTGGGTGCTGGACGCACCGATCAATAGTGACTGAGGGGTTACCCATGCCAACCTGAATCTGTGCATTCAAAACAATCCCACAGGAAATGTCCATGCCTTGATGTCTCGTCTTTCATGACCTACAAATGCATGACAGTGCCATGTGGTCTTGCTCTTGCCTTGAAGGTGTTTATCAAATATGTTGAAGCAGCATTAAATCCCCTGGGTTTGAGTACATTTGTATATGCGGATGGATGATTATACTCTGTGGGGACAACCCAGATTTGTACCCATTAGACTATTCAGTAGCCCATTCGAGCGTGAGGCTAGTCTCTATGTTATACTGTTCCTCTGTTGTCAGTAGAGATAATATGTTCTGCACTCCCTCCTTCCAGCTTTCTAGAGAGGACACTCCTCGGCCAACTGGACGCTGTGGTTTTGATGGGTCTTGCCCCTTGCTCTGCTTAAAATTAGGGACTTTCAGTGCCATGTTAACGCCTAGTTTCATCCAGTGTATGACGTTCCAAGATCCGAATGTTCGCATAATCATTACCTTCTTAAAAAATGACCCGTACAACAATAGTGGCATAAACCCTCCATCAGGAAGGCACAGACTGTTTGAGGCTCTCAGTGTGGAGTGACAATGAACTCCGGGGCATATGGCTTCCACAGAGAAAATCCTCCATGAGAGTTGTAGCAATTGAACCTTCAGGCCATCAGCCAGGGATGACAAATGGATGTGGATGTGTCGGCACACATGTGGGCAGAGAATCAGGTTTACACTCCCCCACCTCCCCCGCCCAGTCTGCCTTATCCCTATAGACATGCCCAAAGAGAGGCAAAGCAGTCAACACACTCATTAGCACCATGTTGGGGGATAGGCACTCAAAAATACACTGATTCAGATTCTAGCTGACCAATCCTGGCCACTCCCATATACAGTACAGACACCTGGAGTGTCTCCCATTGAAGGACCGCATAGGGGACATTGTAGTGAGAGTCAGGTTCAGAAAACTGAATGCAATCACAGAAAAACTTTATCTATGATTGCTGAGATACCAAACAGAGAACATATGGTTACTAAACTCTCTTTGTGATCGGGTGATGATGTATTTGGCATGAAATAAAGATGGCTCATGAAGCTGGATGAACATTTTTAAAGCCCTGACTGCTAAACCCATGAGGTTTGTATTCTGCTCCTTTCTCCCACAAGATCTCTTTTTTTTTCTTCTTGTGATCATCTCTCTTAACCGCTCTCTCTGCTGGAGATCTCATCGTAAGACGTTTATGCCCATGATGCAACGCTTTGGATGTAATCGCTACACTGGAGTTGAGAAATCATTTCCTAACTCATTGGCATTGCTTTAACAGTGCCAGGTTAGCAGGAGTGCCAGCGTCAGCCGGAGGCCTACACAAATAACATTCCAGTCACCGTGGGGGTCCTCCTGCAGGACTTGGGTTGTCCCTCGTCTTGTTATAGAATGGCATTTCATATCACATCAATCAAATCCCCCACATCATTACGTTGTTCAGTGTCGGAGGTGCCATGAATCTGTCCACAGATTTTGCTGCTATTTCCTGTTGTGCACAAGCTTAGCGATTTGTAGTTTTGTTCTTATTGTTTACCTTAAGAGACCTTCGTAATGAGCTCCTCGTTTTTTTCCACTGAGCTCTGTAACATTTTTGGTCTAGTCTAGTTCATGGTGTAGCTCTAGAAATGACAGTGTTAGGTTGGTTGGGGGGGGTCCAGCACTTTGCTGTGGAATTAAATATCTCAACAACTATGAAATTTGGTCCACATACTCATGTTCCTTCTTTGGGTCATTACGTAATAAGCCATTGTATACACAGCTCTTTTCAAAACAAAAATAGACTGAATGTGATCATGTTTCCAAAAAGAATGAATTAATGATGACAGCTACGGTGTTTGAGAAATGAGGATATTTCTGATTCACTGATGACTATAGCGTTGCTAAGCTTACACATACACACACAATGAATGGACTTGTTCTACCTCTTGACCTCAGCCGGTAGAACAAGTCAAGCTTGCTAATAGCTTCTAAATTGAAGCAGGAAGCTTTTTTAATGGTACACTCAGAACAGAGTGTGGGGTAAACATGGACTGCATCACTATAAATAGTGAATATGGTCTTATGGCCTGTTTTTGGACTTGGACATCAAATGTGACGCACAGAGGGGAAGAGCATCCTGATGCAGTCTGGTCATACAAAAGCTTTGAAAAATAAAGATACTGCAGAATTTCTGGTAGCATACTGTGACTTGGTCATACGGTGTATGGTGAAAAATATCATACCCAGAGGTCAGTACTATGAATCAGGGCCAAATACTGGCGCAAAGACATTTTGCTCTCACTCTTGCCAAGAAAACTGAAAACTTCCTCATTACATATACATCCTAAGAGTATCTGACTGCTTCCTGAAATATCGTGTTCAGCTCAGTATGCATAAGTAATGGTCATTGATCCAGTGATTAACAGTGCCCAGTCTCTGAGCGAGGACAGACTAGGTAGCACAAATCCGTCCTGAGCCTCTATACCGAGTGCAGAGGCGGACATGTTGAAGGGTGGCTTCCTGCAGGTCCTCTGGCACCTGGCCATCAGTGCTCCTGTGCAGTGGCTCCATACACTGGCCCCCACCAGGCCTTCCAGTCATACATAACCTTTTTCTTCCCACTCCTTTGGTTGCAGCACAGCTGCTCTGTACAGCAGAAACGTAAAAAGCAAATAGCATGTGTGTGGCATTTAAAAGAAAGGGAAAGAAGATGAGAGAGACCAAAAGGAGAAGCAGAAGAAGGCAAAAGAGAGGCGAGTCAAAGCAAAGGAGGCAAAGGACACCATGTGTGTCTGCGTAGTGGATATGTATGATGTGCAAATCAGCCCAGAGCTTTTTGTCACAATGGTTCATGCATCCTGTAGTCAGCCCACTGACCCATGGTTAAGATTCCTGCATATGTAAGGACCTAAGAAATACTTGAATCATTCTGCGTATCCGACACTGGAGGAGAAAATAAGCGGATTATAAATGTTCACATGTAAGACTCCGAAACATGCAATATGGAATGTTTATCAACATGTCAGTGTTGGTATACTTATCAATCATAGCAGCATATATTTGGATGGACAATGTTAGGTGTAAACAAGTTGAAAATAAAAGTAAGAACATATACTCTGTAATGCAGCGTATACTTTCGGGCTCTTTGTTTATTAAACACCTAAATATTTTCTCCCCAGTGATTTTAAAACAAGTACAAACTTGAATTACATCTCTTTTACGATGAGGAATGATGAATATGATCATTAGATGAATGTTATGATCTGCTTATGGACACCCCAGTGGTTTTGGCAGCTGCTGAAGGGAATAAAACGATAACGCTTAATGCCTGTAGGAGTTCTTTTTTATGAGCGACAACAACATTTCATTAATGCCCCATCATTTGGATAATGATCTGGCTATAAATTCATTTGTGTTCTCGTATGAAGAGTTTTCTAAATATGGATCTGTGTCTGTTGCTGTTTTTGCCTCTAGGTTTGTCTACCCTGTGTTATGGGCTGTTTGTCCCAGCCCATTACATTTGTCTTCAAAAACAAATAACCTTTTGAATAACCTCCATGCTGTTTAAATATCAATTTTAAGTTTATAGGGGGGACGCACAAAAACGCATGGACAATAAAACATATCTGTGTTTCCCTCTCAAACTGCTATCTCAGTTTGTTAAGATGCTTAAAATTAAGCTCACTGGCACACTATAGAGGAAATTAGAGCCAAATGAGAGCAGGTCTGATGTCATAGTATATCCCTGCTGGACAAATCCCAAGCCAACATTTACAATCACAAATAATGTGATTTAAAGTAAAAATGCTGCACAAAAACAAGTCAAGTCTGGTCTACTGTCTGGTCATGTTTTTTTTCTTGACCCACAAAAATACTGTTTTATGGCAGCCACTTCCATAGTCCATTCCATTTTTTAAAAGAGCACCAGCACCTTTCTACAGTTTTTGCAACACCTCACAAGATCTGTGGGGACTGGATGGACTCGTTAAAATCACGCTTCACTGCTTAATCCTTCCTTGTTTTGTCATTTCCACTTAATCAAAGACAGGAGGGGAAAGCAGGTGAGAGCCGCGTGCTCTAGCTTTTTGAAGAAAAATATCGATCTCTCTTGGTCTTTTGGGAGAGAAATAAAGAGAGAATTAAAAAAAACACGAATTCCACATTTTTACCATACAAGGATACCATTTTGAATTTTTAAAAACAAGGAGAAAGGAGGAGTAGGCAGGAGAAAGGGTGTGGTAAAAAATAGGATTGTGCTTTAAAACTGAGCGTACTACTGACAGGCTAAGAGTGAAATAGGAATATGTGGAGGATGGATGAAGGCAGATGTGAATCTGAGATGAAGACTCACAAGTTAAATGAGTGTATAAAACAGATATGCCACTTACAGCCTATGAAACACACATTCCTTCAAGTTATTTTGCAAGAATTAGTAGCCTTTAAAATGTACTTGATATGTGACCAAATAAATACATATCCAGTCTAATGTGAGCACTTTTCTATACACCAAGTCTTCCAGAAGAACAGATGCACACACATCTTTCCGGCTGCACATCCTCGGTTGCATTCATTAAGGTAAAAGGCTACATTAAAAATACATGCTGAGACCTCTCAGACATGCACTTGTGCACACATGACTCTATTCCCCCTTAAATCCAGGTCATGCCTTTGTGCATTCATCAAAAAGTGCATATGCAATCACTCATGAGTCTCTAGAGACCATGAAACAAGTCACTAATGTAAAGGGGGGAAAAGATGAACATACTCACAGTTGACTTTCCTCAGATCTCACAGTTTTCTGTTTAAGGGCAGACTGTGTCTCCTGGTGAGAGCAAAGTTCATAGTTAATCCCTTTGTTTTGCCTGGGAAGCCTTCAGGTCAAGTGTGGCGCTGAGGAACAGGATCACAACACAGTTGGAGGGAGGATTGAGGTGGATGAGAAATCCTGCCGACTTGACCCTCGCATGCCAGAGGAGAGCACAATGGCAGAGGAGAAAGAGGACGAAGAGTAGGAGGAGGAGAAGTGGACACCAGAAGGCTTCAGTCATCCCTGCTCAAGAGGCGCAGCAGAACAGAGCATCATGTTCCCCATCAGCTGTCCAGCACAGCCACCGTGTGTCCAGATGAGAAAAGTATCCTCAAGTTGCAGAGCATCCTTCCCCGGTCATTCATAAATTAGTAGAATCTGCATGGGAGCCAAAGGAAGAAGACGAGAGAGAACTTTTCCTCCCAGTGTGAGCTGAGCTGGGTGAAGTGTGCCGCCTCTCAGGCAAGTTGAAGCAGAATGTCACTGAGAGGCTGCCTGACGCCTGAGCCAAGTCACTGCTACTGCCACACTGCTGCCGCTGCTGCTGCTGCTGCTGCTGCCTTTGCATCTATACTCTGGCTGACGCTACAGTAGCTTGCTGGGAGGAGAAATTCCCATAGGGCTGAATGGTTCATCATGTTTCGGGACAGTGAGCATGCAGCTCAGACCACAGAGTGTGAGAGGGAGGAAGGAGGGGGGGGAGGAGGTGGCCGGGTGGCCTCAAGGGATTTGTTTTGGAAGGTGTGGGGGGGGGGTGTGTGTGTGTGTGTGTGTGGCGTGTGGTGTGTGTGTGTGTGTGTGTGTGTGTGTGTGTGTGTGTGTGTGTGTGTGTGTGTGTGTGTGTGTGTGTGTGTGGAGGTCGTGGTTATGGAGAGAGTGGTGTTTAGTCAGACCAGTCAAGCCAAATCCTGTTTTAGTGTGGTTGAATGTGTGTGTGTGTGTGTGTGTGTGTGTGTGTGTGTGTGTGTGTGTGTGTGTGTGTGTGTGTCACATAAACCATTAATTACCTCCAATAGCATGTCTTTTGTCTGTGCTGTACAGAAAAGCAAGAAGAGACAGGGGCTATCACCACTCCCGGCTCTCTCAGTGTTTGAACTGCATTGAGGCTAAAGCAGCGTGGCTATCAGCAAACTCATCTGCGGAGCATAAAACACCACCACTGCCTTTGTGTGAGTGCTGACATGGCTTGGCCAGATAAGCAGACCACTGAAGTGACAGATGTTTTTCACTGGGACCTTTGTATGTGTGATTGTGTGTGTGTGTGTGTGTGTGTGTGCATGTGTTTATACAACACGCATGCCATTGTGCTGATTGGGAAATTATTTTCTCGGCATTAGGCGACTGCCCTGAATGGGTGTAAAGTCCTTATATGCTATAATCCGGATGATGGAGGCTGATCTGTCCTATGAGCTCCCATCAAATCACCAGTGAGATGCACTAATAAATCCAGTTGCTGCCAATACATTGCCATACAATGCTTTGAATGTTAGGATGTACTGTTGGTATTTTCCCTCATACAATTTATGCCACTGGCTCATATTCACAAGGTCACTGGACACAATTGGCTCTTGATTTTATACTCATTCATTGTGGAGAATTATCAAAATACCCTAATTTTAAGCTCTGGATATCTATATACTATATATCTAGTGTTATACTGTATCTATACTATATGTATAGCCTGATAAAGTGGTTCCCAACCCGAGGGACACTGCCAACAAATGGTAAGATAAATCTGAGGGTTAGTTAGAAGGTTAACCTCCTATACAGCAGGGAAGACGTGACTATGGGTGGTACAGAAACATTACTTTGTTTTGAAGAGTCACGAGCCAAAAAGGCCGGGAACCACTTGTCTCATGTATTGAACTAAAATGTATTTTGATAGCATACTTCTAGATCAGACTTCACAAAGTGCTTCACAATAAAAGACAGAAGAAAGACGTAAAATAGATAATAATATGGAGATAAAAATAAAAATAGATAATAAGCTGGAGTTGGTATTCATGCAATGATAATATGATAATAAGACCTCTGTGTTGATACACACAGAATAAAGAGCTGCACTTTGCCCTGTGGTGCAGAGGAAGCCGGTTAGTGGACAGCAGATAGACGAGACTCCCTCCTATACATCATACTGACATTTGTCATAACACAGCTCTCACGCTGAAATGATTTTGCTGCTAGATCAGGGCTACAGTACATGCCAATGACATGATTAATGTGTTTCATGAAAATCCCACCATGTCTGTTCCACAGAGCACCGTATATCCCCACCCAGCCGCCCCTCCACCTTCCACCTCGCCTGACAGTCTAATCTAATGCCATTTCCAGGCAGCTGGCCAAAGGACAGACACCTGGCTCATCATTACCGTTAAATTGCTGACCGACACAAAGTTTAGAGTGTAGTCATTTTTTTTATGTGATACATCCACACATTAACATGCACACAAAAGCATATGTGCGCACACCAACTAGCCGTACAAGCTGGTTCATATTGGTTATATTTGCAGGATATGTCTTATTGATTAAATTGCAAAAATTGATTCGAAATAATGTCAAGCCCATGCATTATTAACTTTCTAATTACATGTGCTGTTAAAAACTGATAATAGATCAGTAACTGAAATTAAGCATATGACCTTTAACACTACAGACAAAGCATAATGGTTTTCCAGTACACCTCACTGAACCTAGAAGTGTTCTTGTTTCCAGACATCTTTTTGATTTTGATCACCCCTGCCTCGTCCTCTCTGGAAAACAATATTCACAAGGCTTCTAATGATAGCAAACGATGGCAGATGTCAGGGAAGCACTGAAGCCCTCTTTCATTCATGCATCCTCGTCTCTGCTCATCTGCATCCTAAAGGCACGGCTGTTTTTGTTTTTCTACAGGTTACTGTCTGATCACTGCATGCCTGTGAGAGAGACAAGATGGGGGAGGACATCAACACAGCCAGAGATGGATTACATCTGTCCACAGTCCACAGGGGCTTGCTTATCTCCTGACCCAATTGTGCACCCATATGCTGGCAAAATAAAAAAAAAAGATCAGCCTCTGCACGATGCAATCTTTTTTTCTATCTTTTTTTCCCTCAGTCTAAAAGTATTTGTGCTTAAGAGTTAATGACTATTCCTGGTAAATGAACTTCATTTAGATGACCACTGCTCTTACACTTTTGTTGTTGTTGTTGCCAAATTAGAGCCCTAATCACTATAAATATCCAGCAGAATAACCTGGCTGACACGATCAATGGCTCACTTTGGAGCCCCTTTTAATCTAGTTTATCCCTGGCATATGTGTCCCTCCACACTGGCTGAAAGAATTGACTCTTCTGATGTCCTTCTCCCTTCAAGGCTTTGATGAGCAACAAATGTTTATCTGCAGTCGTGCCTGCCTATTCTTTTTCTTTTTTTTCTCTCTCTCTCTCTCTCTCCCTCTGGCCCCAAGCAACAACTCCTGTTTGACATAATGATTTGCCAATACCTTGTACTGTACTCAGTAGATTTACAAGTCCCCCTACTGTGGAGCTCGCTTTTATCCCTGTGTAGAAAAGACTGGTTTGTTTTGAGCCCTTAGATTATAAGATACACAGGGGTTTCCTGTTTCAAGCAGTTTGCTGCACAAATACCTTGTTTTAAACCTTTTGATGATTGCATGATTTTTAAGAAAGTTAACCAGTATTTGATCAAAGCTACTGAATAGAACTTATGTTAAGGCTCATGTATACATAAGTGCTTACTGGAATTAGAATCTAAAAGCACTATCCATGTCGCTAACAAACAGTAAATGAGTGAACCACCAGCTTTGTACACCTACTCTACGTACCAATCAGCTGGGGCTGGGTGGCACATGAGCTCTCCCTCTGTACAATGCAACTTTAATGTTGCCTTGACAGAGGAGATTAGGTGGAAGGCAGCTCTGATTGAGCTGTTATTGTGGGCCCGTGGTTTGCACTCCTTTAAGGACATTCAACACCGACTCCTCAGACACTCCTGCGTCAACAACAATGACCTTGTCTGGATGAGACCCAGGCTGACCTGTGCACGTGTCAGATACCTGTGTGACTGTGTGTTAGGAATAAGGAATAAGCGCTACCTCTATGAGCCATACTGATAATGTTTCAGATCACAGCCCGTGACGCAACTGTCCATTTTATATTTATGGTTTTAATATGTGTTGTTTTTGTCATTTTTGTTTGTTTGTTTTTTAAAATCATGCATGAGTAAGGCCAGTTTAGATGGCTTTTACGTTTTAGTGACAGTGCACTACCATTAAGACAAAGCATGGGAAATGTGGGCGAATGCTCCTTCATTACAGTGTAAGTTTGGGGTCTGTAAGATAAAAATAAAGCAGTCACCTCCATTTCACTGTAGCCTAACTACAGTGTGGTAACAGGGTGTGCAGGCTGTAAAAAAAGACAGTCCAAAAGAGTAATGACAGTGTATACAACAGAAACATTTTGGGAAATATGCTTACTTGCTTTGTTGCCATGACTTTTATGAGAAGATTGATAACCACCCCCTGCATCCAATAGGAAGCTAATGTCACACGCTAGTTACCCTAGCTTAGCATGAACGCTGGAAACAGGGGGAAACAGCTATCCTGGCTCTGTTTAAAGGTAAGGAGTTTGCCAGTTCATTAATCACTGATCTTCAGAAGTGCTGTTGTACAGATTCTTTTGGTTTTTTTACCTTTGGACTGAGCCAAGCTTGCTGTTTCCATTTGTTTCCTGTCTTTATGCTAAGATAAGCTAACCGGCTGCTGGCTCCAGCTGCATATTTATCATACAGAGTGGCAACAATCTTCTGATCTAACTCTCTGCAAGAAAGTAAATATTTCACAAAATTTCAATTTCTTATTATGAGTATTATGATATCTGGTGGTGTAGCTATGAATTTAAGGTGGATGCCACAGTCTAAATGATTGAAATGGCCCAAGGAAACAAGTGTAAATAAATAAATGTCTCTGTTTAACAGGCTGTAAAATAAACCAGTCCCTTATTTACCCATTTACAAAGTATTAACAAAAATATTATATGTGAGTTGATGTAGCATCACTTATTACTGTATAATTACACAGTGCTTGTATTATATACATTATTATATATTACATTACTCTCTGAATACATATTTCAGGTAGCCTAATGGTATTTTGGATGGCATTGTTGCTACTGATAGGTACTCAATTCATTGGTATGTACAAAATAATGACACTGTAATTTGTGGGCTGTAATCTTTACTGCCACATTTATCTATTTAATTAAAGGTCAAATTTAGGGAATAAAGAAAATTAACATTCAGCACAGTTGCTCACACATCTTGACAATGCAAAAAGAAAGACAACAAGTAAGAACTGCTGGATTAAAGTTTTTCTCCCATCATCCTAACGGAGTTGCCGTTGTCCTTGTTTATGTAGGTGTGTGATATGTGAATGCGTTCATGTGCATACTGACGCAGATCCTGTTGTGGACACTGTGTACAAGATGTCCAGACTCCCTCCCTATCAGGTCGTCCAGTCACCATCCGTCTGAATTATTGGTCGCCTGAAAAGGGTGTCAAGGCTTCAAATGAGCTCGGCCAATGCCGCAGAGAATCTTATCAGCAGCAGCCAAATTTCCACTGTGAAG